AATTGACAGAATATAATACAATAATTCAGCAATTAAAATCTAACACCTAATTCCATGTAATTGACAGAATATAATTTAATAATTCTTCAATTAAAATCCAAGAGAAGCGTAACAAAATCTACTATGTGTAAGACCCTATTATGCATCCAAAACAACTTTAAAAACCATACTCCAGTCATCTAAGTTGCTAAAATCAGTTTAAGCAACTAAATACTTTATATCCGTCAATAGTGTGTGACGTTGCTTAAAACTTCCACACTGTGAATACCATTAGCATATACAGATAAATTATGCATTGTGAGTTCAATTACAGCATAATATCATGTTTAGAGTCCATGCTACATTCTGTTAAATTGTTAAAACAAGATTAAACAATTTAGTCCTTCCTATCCATTAACAACGTGCAAAGTTGCTTATGTTTATATTGTTCATTCTACTTGCACTACGGATCAAATTATGCAATTAGAGAGTTTAAAAACCCATGAAATTACTTTTAAAATCCTCAGTCCAGCCCTTGAAACAATCTAGAATACCCAACACGTCTAAAACAGTGCCCAAAACAGTTCTGGAACGTGTCCAAACATGGCCACACAAGGGAGCCTGCTCTCAAAACCACAGAGCAGTCTCAATGCACCATGGAGCCAGCCTCTTTGAGAGCACTGATCCCCTTTCAGCTCCGTTTCTGATCATCTGCTTTATCTCTGGCCTCTTCCTATTCCTCTGTTCTTCCTTAAAACTGATCTTAACAGTCTAATATATATCCAGTATCATCCCAACCCTTTGTTTATAACAGTGAGAATTAATACAACAATTAAAACAGTACCAATTTGTATGCTTTAAAATAGACGACGAACACCAAACTTGCAAGAATTGTTTCAGACAAACTTAAAATACCTACAGATGATCAAGTTGACATATATTACGCATGCAAGATTCAATTAACATTCAATTAAACTCCTAGAGATTATCTAGGTATGCATAGAACACAGACTAACGGGAGAGAGAAAGAAAAGAACTTGCCTGTGATTTCAGTTATGAAATCTTGGCGTCGTCTCTAAGTTTCCGGCAATTACTGAATACCGTTAAGCCTTCTACTGCTCCGGCTCTAATCCACAATCAACCTCCTAGGTCCTTTATATTTTCCTCTCAAGTCTCTCTCTGTTTCTCTCTGCCTCCAGTATGTGAATAGAGTTCTAAAACCCTTGGCAGACGTGTGACAAACATATTTATAGGCAACCACAAAACTTAAGTTCAATTAAAACCCTAAACTGAACCCTAGTCGGCCCATAGAATAAAACCTAATTTATAATCTATGTCGGCTACCAATACGTGACTTGTAAAATAAAAACCTAATTGAAACCAATTAACTCAACTAATAAACCATATAACTAATTAAAAACAAATAATTCCAATTAATCAAGTTAAAGAAAAATAAAAATACAATTAATCCATTAATGAAAATAAAAACACAACTAATCAATTAATGCAATTAAACAACCAATTAATCAAAACTGTAATTAAATACACAATTTAAACAATTAAATAGAATAAATAATAAAACAAATAAACAGTTTAGCAAATAATCAATTAATCACACAAAAATGCAGTAAAACCATAATTAAAAATACCGAGACTATCCTTTTAAAATTAGGGGTATTACATTCTTCCCCCCTAATAAAATGAATTCTATCCTTAGAATTCGCTCATACCTTCTTCCAATATTTCAGGAAACAGCGAGCGAATGACATCCTCCCATTCCTAAGTAGACTCAGCCTCATTGTGGTGACTCCACTGAACTCGCACCAAAGGAATAACCTTATTATGAAGAATTTGATCCCGACGGTCGACAATACGATACGGTGGCTCCAAATATGTTGCATCCGGCTGCAACTCAATCTCCCCAACTTCGATATACCGATCCTCATCTCGCAGACATTTCCGCAATATGGAAACATGGAACACATTATGCACACGATCCAAATTATCCGGAAGTGCCAACCGATAAGCAACAGTGCCAATTCAATCCGTAATCATAAATGGATTGACAAACCGCGGTGACAACTTCCCTTTCTTCCCAAAGCGTATTACTTCTTTCATAGGAGACACTTTGAGCAGAACCTTCCCAACCTGAAATTCCAAAGCACGAGTACGACGATCTGCATAACCCTTCTGCCTACTCTGAGCAGTGCGCATGCGATCCCTAATAAGAGCAATCTTCTTAGAAGTATCCTTAATAAACTCAGGACCCAAGAATCTGCTCTCACCCACCTTCATCGACACGGTCGGCCGTACAATGCCTCAAATGGTGCCATACCAATAGTCTTTTGGAAACTATTATTATATGCAAACTTTACAAGTGGCAAATAATCCTCCCAGTAGCCTTTGAAGTCAAGAACACATGAACGAAGCATATCCTCCATGATCTGATTAACCCTCTTGGTCTGTCCATCAGTCTGAGGATGATAAGCAGTACTAAGATGTAATTTTGTACCCAAGGCCAGCTGAAAACTCTTCCAAAATCCTGATACAAAGCTCGAATCCCTGTCCGATATAATAGATAATGGAACGCCATGTAACTTCACAATCTCTGCAATGTAAAGTCCCGTCAACTATTCCGATGTGAAGTCAGTGTGAATAGGCAAGAAATGAGCTGATTTAGTCAACTTATCCACAATGACCCAAATCGAATTGTAATCCTTAAAGGAATTTGGCAATCCCTCTACAAAATCCATAGAAATGCTCTCCCATTTCCACTCCGGTATAGGTAGTGGCTATAGAGCTCCTGGCAGCCGCTAATGATCAATCTTGACCATTTGACAAGTACTACATCAAGAGGCAAAAATAACAATATCCTTTTTCATACCTGCCCACGAAAATTACCGCTTTATATCCTGATACATCTTGTCAAACTCAGAATGATGAGCCTCAGTCATCACATCCTTCCTTAAATCATCAGCAGAAGGTACCACCAAATGACCCTTATACCTCAAACCTTTATCAGTCCCAACATAATAAAATGGAACCTCCTCGGAAGCTATCTTTGTAACCTTGTTAATGCACTGTTGATCCGTGAGTTGCGCCTTCAAAACTTTATGAAAAATCAAAGGTGTAACTACCATGCAAGCCATGAAAGCATCTGACAATTCATCCACAGTCTTCAAAGCATTCCACTCAGTGGTGAATAAAGCAGAAAGACTACCAATAGGTCGGCGACTGAGTGCATTTGCCACCACATTCGCTTTCCCTAGATGGTACTGTATAGAGAACTGATAGTCTTTTACAAACTCTAACCATCGGCGCTGCCTCATATTCAGCTCATGCTGAGTGAACAAATACTGCAGACTCTTGTGATTATTAAATAATCTGAAGGATTCCCCCAACAGATAATGCCTCCAAATACGTAAGGCAAAAGCCACAGCTGCCAACTCCAAATCATGTGTTGGTTAATTAAGCTTATGAGGCTTAAGTTTTTGAGATCCATATGAAATCGGTCGCTCCTCCTACATCAAAACACATCTAAGACCTTGCAAAGAAGCATCTGTGTAGACAAGATACTCAATCCCGCTCTGTGGAGTAGACAGAACTGGTGCAAAAGTCCACCTAAGCTCATCAAAAGCTTTCTGACAGTGTTCATCCCACATGAACCGTTTACCTTCTTTAGTCAGATGAGTGAGCGGTCCCACTATTTTCAAGAACCTGTAATGACCCAGTTATTTTCCTTCCTTTCTTTTTTCAAAAATTCTTTTTTTTTTTTTTTTTTTTTTTTTTTTCGTTTCCCTATTTCGTCCTTTAGTTATTTTTTCGATTTTCCTTCCATAACCTCACTTTTTGTGCTTGGATTTGATTCCGGCTTGGCATACATCCATGATATTTCATTTCCATGATATCTACATTTTTACTTTTATAGAAAAGCATATTAAATGTTTACTTTCTTGTAAAGTGCATGAAAGCATGACTTTTTGGTAATTATCCTAAACTTGAGGGGTTTTAGTGTAATTAAGAAAAGAAATTATTTTTCGTCTTAAGGACCATTTAGTAATTTAATTTGAAAGATATTTTCAAAAAGGACCTATTTGTAATTTTCAAAAAATGTGATAAGTGTCACATTCCTAAGGTGCCACTTGTTGGACTTGTGGTGGAACCACTTGAAGGCTTAATCTCTTGACTCATGGAGGGTGGAGATTCACCCATTTATTGACCTAGGATTCGACCACTTGTTGGCATAGATGGTTGACAAGTGTAGGTTCAATATTAAGCCTTAGAAGTTTACATAGGATGGTGACAAGTGTAGGACTCACCTTTAGTCTTGCATTAGTGTGTGTGTGAGAGGTAGTGCAAGAGCACCTAGTGAGTGGAGAATCCCACCATTTTAACTTAGGGTTTGCATTTTTATTCATTCATCTCTTTCCTCTCAAGAACTCTAACTTAGCCTCCATTGAAGGAAAAGCTTGACCAATAGCTTTAACTTCAATTTTGGTGCCCTTCCACTCACCAAAAACCATTCAGGTATTGGAGGATATGTTACGGGCTTGTATCTTGGATTTCGGTGGTAGTTGGGAGGACTACTTACCTTTGGTTGAGTTTGCCTACAACAACAGTTACCAAGCCAGTATTGGCATGGCACCTTTTGAGGCGTTGTATGGCAGGCCTTGCAGATCTCCAGTTTATTGGATCGAGGTCGGTGATACCATTGCCTTGGGTCCCGACATCGTCATTGAGACTACAGAGAAAATCAAGTTGATTCGGCAGCGGTTGGTTATAGCACAGAGCAGATAGCAGTCGGTTGGTTGATTCGGAGACGATCCTTGTCTTTTGAGGTAGGAGATCATGTTTTTCTTAAGATTTCTCTACGCAAGGGACTTCTGAGATTTCGACAGACTGGCAAGTTGTCTCATAGGTTCATTAGACCATTTGAGATTTTGGAGCACGTCGGTGAGGTTGCTTATCGTTTGGCGTTGCCTCCAGACCTGGATAGGGTCCACGACGTCTTTCATGTCTCTATGCTGAGGAAGTACGAATCGGATCCATCACATATTTTACGATGGACAAATGTTGTTATTGATGAGGACGTGACCGACGAAGAAGGTCTAGTCCAGATTCTTGATTCACGGGAACAGGTCTTGCAGACCAAGACCATTCCATTGGTTAAGGTCTTGTGGAGACACCACGGCGTCGAAGAGGATACCTGGGAGCTCAAACAGGAGGTTCGCTCTCGGTATCCCCACTTGTTCTCTCTTTCAGGTACGATTCGATTTTGGGGACGAAATCCTTTTTAAGGAGGGTAGATTGTAATGACCCGGTCATTTTCCTTCCTTTCTTTTTTCAAAAATTCATTTTTTTTTTCTTTTCCCTATTTCGGCCTTTAGTCATTTTTTCATTTTTCCTTACATAACCTCACTTTTTGTGCTCGGATTTGATTCCGGCTTGGCATACATCCATAATATTTCATTTCCATGATATCTACATTTTTACTTTTGTAGAAAAGCATATTAAATATTTACTTTCTTGTAAAGTGCATGAAAGCATGACTTTTTGGTAATTATCCTAAACTTGAGGGGTTTTAGTGTAATTAAGAAAAGTAATTATTTTTCGTCTTAGGGACCATTTAGCAATTTAATTTGAAAGATATTTTTAAAAAGGACCTATTTGTAATTTTTGAAAAATGTGACAAGTGTCACATTCCTAAGGTGCCACTTGTTGGTTTTGTGGTGAAACCACTTGGAGGCTTAATCTCTTGACTCATGGAGGGTGGAGATTCACCCATTTATTGACCTAGGATTGGACCACTTGTTGGTATAGATGGTTGACAAGTGTAGGTTCAATATTAAGCCTTAGTTTACATAGGATGGTGACAAGTGTAGGACTCACCTTTAGTCTTGCATTAGTGTGTGTGTGAGAGGTAGTGCAAGAGCACCTAGTGAGTGGAGAATCCCACCATTTTAACTTAGGGTTTGCATTTTTATTCATTTATCTCTTTCCTCTCAAGAACTCTAACTTAGCCTCCATTGAAGGAAAAGCTTGACCAATAGCTTTGACTTCAATTTTGGTGCGCTTCCACTCACCAAAAACCATTAAACTTGGAATACTTAAGTTTCCTCTCACTCTCCTCTATAAAACCCTTTTTTCATTTTCTATTTTTAAGCTTGGTTGCCTTGGATTATAGAGATTCTATTCTCTATTGAGGTAGGGGGTGTTATAGTTTATTGCTCAAGTCAATTATTGTTTTTCATAATGATGTATAAGTTGTATGCATGATTGTATTAAATAGAGAAACTAATGATTAGTGGAAACTTGCCTAAAATCCGCTTTAGACTTGGTATATGGCATGGCCATGACTTGATCTTTGTTGTATGTTAATTTGGCATGATTTAAATGAGCTTTTAAATCTAGAGATTTAAATTGATTTAAGTTGATTTAAATTCTATTTAATTGTACCATGCTTAAATTCCATTTTTGACTTGATATATGGCATGTCCATGAGTTACTCCTTGTCATATATTTAATTGGAATCATTTGGACAACTTTTGAAATCTAGAGAAATTACTTAATTAGTTTAATTAATTTCTATCTTATTGATCTAATGATTTAGTCATTCAATTCATGAGACTTGATGTGTTTTATCACATATCATGACTTGTTGCTCAACTTGTTGATTTGGAAACTTGGGATATTATTAAGAACATGACTTAGCTAGGACTTAGTTCTAGTACGGGAGATAGAGAGCTCCTTACACTATAGTGCGCACTAGGGGAAAGGTACCCATGGGTTAATAGCCCTAAAGTGATCTCAAGAGTATGGTTTTAATCTGGGCAATATCCAAGTATCCACTTTGGTTTGATTTCACATTTAAATTCCAAGTTGTTAACTTTGTGAATTTGCATCTCATCATGCTACGTTGAAAGTTTTAATGTCACTTTAATAGCATGGATTGAATTATATCAAATTGTAAACTTTGTAATATATTAAACTTGTGCATGCTCATTCCCTACGAGTAAACTTGTTTACTCACCTCGAAGTTACCGGGTGTTTTTCAGGTAAAGAAGCAATATTGTGGGATGCATAACAATCATAGACTTGCTAAACTTCTTGAAGTATTTTTGCTATGTTAGAATATGCACATGTTAGCATATCTTGTTCCATTTTGCTTAGTATGACAAAATATGTATTTGTTGTCTAAACTATGTAATGTACACTTAAGTGTACCTTTTGATGCTCTATGGATATGTTGTAATGTGGATGTGAGGGACCAGTTACCAGATTCATTGGAGGTGGATATTCATGGTGTTGATTGTGTTTTGACTTTTGAGTATGAATGGAAGCTGCAGATTTGTACATATTGTCAAAGAGTTGATCATGTGTCTACTAGATGTCCACAAAAAGTTTTATAGGCTAAACCACAGAAGAAAAAAATGGTTGATAAATGGGTGGTGAAGCAAAAAGGTCAGCTGGTGGTTCGAGATGAAGATGAAGTGTTTATGGATATGCCTATTAATGTAGAAGAAGACTTGGGAAAATAGGCTTCCACCCCTGTTGTCTCCATCCAAACCTCTAATGTCTTCCAACTTTTACAGAATGAAGATACTCAGACGGAAGCTGAGGAACTTAACTCAGGAAAAGAGGGGGGGGGGGGGGGGATCTTTAATAACTTCTAATCTTTACCGAATGCCAATATTCAGAAGGAAGTTGTGGAGCTTAATTTAAAAAAAGGGGGAGAGATTCTTCATCTCGACAATGTAATTAATATAGAAAAGGTTAGTAGTTCACACATAAGACTTGTCTCTGAAGCAAAAACTGGTCATGAAGCTTCAAGTGCAGAGATTAAGGTAATGTCTACAGTTTAATCTTTGAAGGGTTTTAGCACGGATGTCAAGGATGGTATTCAAAACCAAGTTGCGGGTGGGGATTCAGCCATTGCTATTTTCTCTTCCAAAGTAACTGACAGTCAACAGAAAGTTAAGAAGAAAAATAAAAGTGTGTTGGCATCAAACAGAGTGACTAGGAGTCAAGGGGGTATCCCTAATCCTCTTTTTCAATGATCACTTCATGGAATGTGAGGGGCTTAAATAAGCCCAGATGACAAAGGGAGGTTCGACAATGGATTAAATCAAATGACTCTCATTTTGTTTGTTTACAAGAAACTAGGGTTAGAAGGCCTAATTTTGATGTCATCATAAGGAAACTAAATAGAAGATGGAACTGGATTCATAATTATAACTCCCATGATCTGGGTAGAATTTGGATTGGTTGGGATCCCTTGTTTTTTACGGTGACAGTGGTCAATGAGATGGATCAGTGTATTTTACTTAAGGTTTGTATTTTACAAACTGATGAAGTGGTTTTCTGTACTCCTGTATATGCTTTGAATACTATTGCAGAAAGAAGAAAGCTATGGGATCAATTGGTCATTCAGTCTTTTGTTATTACTAGTCCATAGTTGGTAGTTGGAGATTGGAATGCTACCAAGTTTCATTCAGATAAACAAGGAGGCCGTTGGGTACCTCAAAAGCTTCTTGATGAATTTAATGAATACCTGCACAATACTGGTTTGATGGAATTATTTGCCTCTAATGGGGATTGGTCTTGGTGTAATAAGCAAGGAAGGAAAAGAAGAATTATGGCAAAATTGGATAGGGTTTTTACAAATGATGCTTGGCTGCAATTATTTACAGGTACAAAAATTTCATATTCTGCATCATTCTCTTCTGATCACTATGGAGTAGTTATTAATATTTTTAGACAATTTACAAGTGGCCCTAAGCCCTTTAAAATGTTAAAAATATGGTGTTTGCAAGATGGTATTATGGAGGTGATCAAGAAAGCCTGGGATGTTCCTATACCGGCTACTCCCATACATATTCTTCTAAAAAAACTTAGGAAGGTTAAGGCTGCTGTTAAGCTGTGGAATAAGGAATCTTTTGGGGATATTGAAGAGAGGGTGTTAACCACTAAGAAATCACTAGAAGAGATTCAGCTAACACTTCTTGACAACCCCACAAATGATATGTTTGACAAAGAAAATCAAGCTCAGGATGATTATTCTGATGCATTGTCTGCTCAAGAGATTTTATATGTTCAGAAATCATGGATCGTGTGGCTCAAAGACATTGACAGATGTACAGGCTATTTCCACTCCAAAATGAAGCAACACCATCAGTTTAATGCAATTACATCTGTGGATTACGAGAATGGATAGGTTACTACAGACACAGAGAATATCAAAACAGCTTTTGTTAATTATTATCAGGATTTATTTCAAAATAATTAAGTGGAGGATTCCTTTGTAGTTAATCCTAGATATATTCTTTCTTTTGAAGATAAGTTGATTCTGGATGCTCCTGTATCAACTAAAGAGATCAAAGCAATAGTGATGAATTTTAAGCCTGATAAAGCTCCTGGCCCAGACGGTTTCCCTGCAAGATTTTATCAATCCTTTTGGTCTATAGTTCAGCCTGAAGTATGTTCTGCTGTTCAAAATTTTTTCACAACAGGTTCTTTTCCAAATGGGGTGAGTAGCTCTTTCCTTACCCTGATTCCTAAGGTTGGTAATGCAATTAAGCCTAAGGAATTCAAACCTATTGCCCTATGCAACCTTATCTATAAAATCATCTAAAAAATTCTAGCTTCTAGGCTTACTTTGGTGCTTCCTAAGTTGGTTGAATTAGAGCAGAGTCCATTCATTAAAGGGCGGAAAATTCAAGATGCTATAATCATGGGGCATGTCATGGTAAGTGAATTCAATACCAAATATCCAACTATGGCCTTGAAAGCTAATGTAACAAAGGCATTTGATAACGTTTCATGGCGATTTCTTCTAAACATCTTAAATGCCTCTGGCGTTAGTTCCAATTGGGTGAGGTGGATTTCAACTCTTTTGCATTCCACAAGATATTCTATATTACTTAATGGTTCTCCCACAAGATTTATTCAACCATCAAAGGGCTTACAGCAGGGATATCCTTTCTCTCCCCTTCTTTTCACTCTTGTAACTGACCAACTATCCCAACTTCTCAACACAACAGCTGTCTCCGGAAGGCTTATTTTGTCAAAAACTGCTCAAAAAGGTAATTCTACTTGCTATCACACCTTTTTTGCCGATGATTTATTAATCACCTGTACAACATCATTATCTAATGCTAGAATTCTTCAAGAAGTTTTCAAAGATTTTGGAGATGCTTCAAGTCTTAAGATTAGTTATCAAAAGAGCAGTGTGATCTTCTCCAAATATGTCAGAAGGAAAAATGCAATTCTGAACCTACTTAAATGCAAAGAAGAATCACTTCCTTTCAAATATTTGGGGATCCCACTGTGTTCTTCCAGTTTAAAAAGATCTCATTGTGCTTCTCTTATTGACAAAGTTTCTAAGAAGCTTACTGATTGGAGTACAAGGCTGTTGTCAATTGTAAGAAAGGTTGAACTGATCAAAACAGTTATAACTCCAGTTTATTTGTATTGGTGCAGTGTGTTCTCTCTTCCTATGAAGATTATTAATCAAATTCAGAAATTGTGTAGAGATTTTGTATGGGGAAGTAGGGATAATGTGAAGAAATTACATTTCCTAAGCTGGGACATGATGTGTCGATCAAAAGCTGAGGGTGGTCTAGGAATTCAGAAATTGAAGGATTTGCAGGTGACTTCTCACTGTGTTTTGGCATGGGATAATTTATTGAGTAAGGACAGACTTTGGGTTTCTTGGTTTCAAAACAGATATGCAGTTAATTCAAATTACTGGAGTGTAATCCCAAAGATCTCTCACTCCATTCTGTGGAAGAACTTGCTTAGTGTGAGAGATTTTATGCTGGCTAATGTTGATTTTTCTATTGGGAATGGAAAAATATTCAAAGTTTTGATAGATCCATGGTGTGCAAAGGAAACTTTGCTACAAAAGTTTGGTCACATAATTGTTAGACGACTGGGGTTTTCTTGGACTTATCCTTTGTCAAGTCTCATCCTTGATGGAGAATGGAAGTTTGATCTTTTTCAAAATGCAATCTTCAGACCTATTAAGGACTACCTGCAAACATTGACTATTCATAATAGACCTGATAGATTTTTGTGGGATGGAGGAACTTTTACGTTCAAAACAGCATGGAAGAGATGTAGATCTACCTTTCCAGAGGTTACCTAGTCTAAGATTTGTTGGGGTAAGGCTAGACCTCGTTGGTCAATCCTTGGTGTCTTTTTGTTTCAAGATAGATTGCCCACAATGTATAATCTGCAGAAGAGGCGTGTGTAGTTGGCTCCTAGATGCTCTATTTGTCTTTAATAGATTGATACCAGAAATCATATTTTTATTCAATGCCCTTTTGCTATGAATTTTTGGATTTGGTTGAAGACTTCACTTGATTGGGCTATGGACTTAAGTTCTATATATATAGTGGAAGACCTGCTGCTTTGGTTTTTTCTACAGACCAGTAAAATGGTTCATACCATTTTTGTTGCTGGTTTTTAGAGCATTTGGCAAGAAAGAAATCGAAGATTACATGGACACAACTCTAGTTCTTCCTCGAAGGTGGCTAGGAAAACTTTGCTAGAAGTATTTGATGTTTATAATGTCACGTTTAGAGACATTATTTAGTTTACACTTTAGTTGTTTGTCTTTATTTACTGGAACGAGTTTATATTTCCCTTTTTGTTCTTTTCAGTAGTTTTTACTAAGGGTAGGCCCTCTGTGCGCCTGTACATATATTTTTTCCTTTTTTTATTCATCATCCAATTATGAAAAAAAAATGTGGCCAAGAGCCAAACATGTTTCCTTTAGTATTTGTATTCAGTTGGTGCATTAATTTGCCTTAAAAGCATACTTTAGCTAAATTGGAGGTTTAGCATATGAAAATCTTGTAAATGAAGTGTATGAGGCCATGAGCCATCATTTTGTTTTCTTTCATCCATATTAAGGTTGTTGGCATGCTCACACACTTGAATCTCCTTGAAAAGAAGTCAGTTTTTAGCTTTCATTTTAAAACCTCAACACTTCAATCATGTAGCAGACCATTTAGCAGAGTTCCAGTAGCATTTCATGGTGTTTCGGTCGACCAAAACTCCATTTCGATCAACTGATGGTTAATGGTTTTGTATTTGAATAGTAAAACTCAATTCCAGTAGCCAAATCTACTGTTCAAGAGTCATTTCGGTCGACCGAACCTTTATTTCGGTCTACCGAAGCAGCAAACACCTTTTCTTCATTATTTCAGCTCTTAGCATGTTCATTTTGGTCGTCCAAAACTCCATTTCAATTGACCAAAATAGCAAGAACCTGAGTATAGCTTCTGTTGAGTTTCAGCACTGATCTTCCAACTGCAAAGGGTCATAACTTCTTCATTTCTAATCCAAATGGGGTGATTCTTGAGCCTAAACTCAAGCATTTTGAGTTAGATTTCTAATGGTACCAATTCCATCCTCAGATTCAAAACACAGTAAGAGATATCCATATTTTAGTGAGGTAGGGTCAGTTTTCGCTTAAACTGGGAAAGGGCATTTTATGGGATTCTTATCCAAAGTTCTTAAAACCTCTTCGAATGTTATGAAATGATTAGATTAAGTTGTATTCACCTTGTTTGACTTGTTTAGAGTCAATTTTCTCCTTTTGATTATGAATTGACCATTTTGCCCTCAGTTGACGGATTTAGCCCGTTCAAACTCTAGTTTCCTCTTTTGCTCTCTTTAGCTTCCGTGACCTTATGGAATGTCACATTGGTGTCTTAGAGATGATTTATAGCTCAAATGACTATAGTTTATCTTTCGCTTCCGCATTCTAGATCCGTTAACGGGTCAATCCTCGGTTCATCACTTACCCACCTGGTTGAAGAAAACCCGGGTCGTTACAAAACCCCTGGATGAACCTACGATAATATCCTACCAATCTGAGGAAACTCCGAATCTCAGTAGGTGAAGTAGGCTGTCCCCACTCAACCACTGCTGAAACCTTGGCCGGATCTATCGCTACTCCCCTTTCTGACATCACGTGACCCAGAAACTTCACTTCCCGCTGCCAAAATTCACACTTCTTGAACTTGGCATATAACTGGTGCTCATGAAGCGTTTGCAAGACTATGCAAAGATGTCTAGCATGATCGTCCTCTGACTTAGAATAGATCAAGATATCATCATTGAAGACAATGACAAACTGATCCAAATAAGCCTTGAAGACTCTATTCATTAAGTCCATGAAAACTGCTAGTGCATAAGTAAACTCGAACGGCATTACACAAAACTCATAAGACCTATATCCAATAAGAAACACTGTCCTCGAAACATCTTGCTCCCTAACCGAAGTTGATGATATCCAGAACTAAGATTAATCTTAGAGAAGTATGTAGCTCCCTTCAACTAATCAAAAAGATCATCAATCCCGGGCAAAAGGTACTTGTTACGAATAATAACCTTGTTCAACTCCCTGTAATCTATACACAGGCGAAGTGAATTATCCTTCTTCTTCACAAACAAACCAATGCTCCCCAGGGTGAAGTACTCCTACGAATAAAACCTTGGCTAAGTAATTGCTGAATCTGATCCCTTAGCTCTAGCATCTCCACTGGTGTTATCCTGTATGGTGCCCTAGCAATAGGCGTAGTGCCTGGAGCTAAGTCAATCATAAAGTCAATCTCGCGACTAGGCAGCAACCCTGGAATCTCCTAAAATACATCCGGAAAGTCCTGTACGATTGGTATGCTATCCAATGACATAGTAATATCCTCCTCCATATGGAACAAATAAGTGCTAGTGACCCCGTTAGAACATGGCATAGCAACGACGTACACATCCTGACCAGGTATGGTGAACACAATAGACCTATCATAATAATTAACTTGGGTATGATAGTGTGATAACCAATCCATCCCAAGTATCACATCATAAGTGTGCATGCCCAGGACCAATAGATTGGCTAGAAATCTGAGTCTACCAATATCTAGTCTCTCAGGCTCATTACTTTCATGAAAAATGGCAGTATCACTTAAAGGTGCATATATACCCTGAGGTCTATCGCATACTTATGTCACCACTAAACTATATCCCAAATGTTCAGAATACTCCGTAGAGCAAAACACGTAAGGTAAACAAAATACTCTGAAATCTACTCATTTTTGGATTATTACTCTATCCTGGGAATTCTTCCTTCGAAATCAGACTTACCATATTGATTTACACAAGTTCATTTATAACTTCTTGGTAATCATCCCATCTTAACACAACGTT